CTTCCAATCAGAGAGTGTTACATGATGCAGCGTACAGATCCAGGTGAAAGTTGCTAGATAAATCTACAGACCTGACAGTGGAAAAGAGCGGCTTTCTGTAAATGTTCGCGCGTCTTGGCTCACGCAATGTTACTATACGTTATAAGCTCCTGGTGGCCCGCAATCTGGAGACGGAAGCAGCAAGGACGCTGTGGGCAAACCGCAGCTTCAAACACTTGGAACAGTCCGGCGGCACCGAGGTTGAACTTGCTTCGTGTCAGGCCGTTTGTTTCTTACGCGGTGCTAGATTGAGCACCCCATGCGTTTGACAGTTATCTATAAAACCAGCCATCTAAGCGGAACCCTTGGATTCATGTTTAGAAAGGTTTTAGGAAGGGCCCCCTTGTAAGGATGATGTGGCAGAAGCAAAACTCTGGTGAGCGTAAGCCTCCGTAAGCTTTGCGCGTAAAACAAGATTTGCGCCTAAGTAAAACTTGTGCGCGCGTAAGAAAAACGTAAGCAATGGCGTAGGTATTTACATTGTTTTGGTGCCAGGATGTAAGACATGTAGAAATGGCTCATTTATAAATTATTGTGATGTTCCCATGTAAACGCCTATGTATAGAAAATTTTCCACGCAGAAGCGTGCCCCAAGACGCGACGCCACTACTCAGCACCCCACTGCTGCCTTGGCTGAGGCTGAAGTGGAGCAGAGGTGCGGCAGCCGCAGAAAAGTTAGCAGGGCCATCTGGGAAACTCAGCGCTATAATTACACGTCACACCTCGATTGGGTTTGAAAAAATTGTAGTTAAGTTATGCCGTGTTTCAATTTTACGTATCCAAAGAACTGCTTCCCGCATCGCCAATTCAAAATCCGCTTGGTTCAGTGATGTTGGCTGTCAGCATCGTTCTTGCTGTCAGGAAAAGGTGGTTTAGCTAGCTCATGTTTTTCCATGAGCAGTAGAATTTCTGGGGTCTCGCCTCATTGCGCTCTTGAGGCTCCATTTTTATCGGCAATTGCTGATGAGACCCGAGGTAGGCGGCTCAAAAGGGGTGTGTCGAACATGTGGGTATGGCACCATGGGTGAATAGCAAAGCAAGTAGATTACGGATGTCCAAGAACCCCAAAATGGCACAGTGGAAACAGTTGATTTAAAAAATCACACATGGAAACGTTGGGTACTTTTCTCCCCTTTAAGATGGGATGTAGGCAAGCTGTCGCAAAATATTCACATAGTTAATTTCATAAAGATGTTTTCAAGTTCGATTTTAACCGCCAAGACAGCAACAGCAGAAGCAGAAGCAGCAGCAACAACCAACACCAACACCAACAGCAACAGCAACAGCAACAGCAACAGCAACAGCACCACCGCCGCCGCCGCCGCCCTCGCCGCCACCAGCACCACCACCAGCAGCAGCAGAAGCAGCAGCAGCAGCACCAGCAGCAGCAGCACCAGCAGCAGCAGCACCAGCAGCACCACCAGCAGCACCACCAACACCAACACCACCACCACCAACAACAACAACCACCACAACAACCACAACAACAACACCAACAACCAACAACCAACAACCAACAACCACCAACGACCACCAGCAACAAACAACAACAAACAATAACAAACAACAACAAACAACATCGACAAACACGACAACAACGAGGACGACGACGACGAGGAGGAGGAGGAGGACGACGACGACGATCACGACGATGACGACGACGACGACGACGATGACGACGATGACGACAACGACGACGACGACGACGACAACGACGACGACGACGACGACGACGACAACAGCAGCAACAACAACAACATCATCAAACAATCAACAACAAACAACAACAAACAACAACAAACAACAAACAAACAACAAACAAACAACAAACAAACAACAAACAACAAACAACAAACGACAAACAACAAACAACAAACAACAAACAACAAACAACAACAATCACAACCACCAATAACAACAAAAACATTAACAACAACGACAAAAACCACGACAACGACAAGGACCACGACAACGACAAGGACCACGACAACGACAACGAAGAAAACTATGGGACATTCAACAAGTGGAATTTGTGTGGTTATTTTTATTTTCCATGTTCCTGTATATGATTAGAGGGTTACATAGGTTGTTTCATGCGATGGTTACATGTTAATATGTTACTTGTTCAACATCCAGTTTTGATCACTTTTGCATATTATTAAATTAACACCAGGAACTGCTGTGCATTGATTACCTTCAGAGTTCGGAATGGCTGAAATTCGAGACGTCAAAACCGGCGGCCAAATGACAGGTTCCCAGTCGTTTATCCTTCCGGTTGACATGTTTTTTTTTAAACCTGAATGCTATGATCGGGTCTCAGGTGCAGGATCACATTAGTATATAGTATAAACCATATTACCCTCTGGTCATTTGTTACAGTTTGCGAACTGGAAAATGGCCCAGTCGAAATAGTGAGTTTTCCCATTCGAAATGGTGATTTTCCATAGTTTTTTGTATGTTTACCAAAGGGTAATAACTGGAAAGTAATCTGGTACCCTAAGGTCTTTGGAGAGGATCCACAGTTCTTCCAATTGTTGGCAGGGCGCCCCAGGGGCAGGTGAGTCCATGTCGGAAGTGATCCCCAGAGTCCGAGAGGAAAGTCCGACTGGTGAATTTGGGGTGAAACATGGTGAAACAATTTACTAAGAAACCAGTAGATTACCAGTAGATTCCCCAAATTGTGGATTAGTATGGATGAATTCGCAAAAAAAACACATCACCTTAAGCAACAAAAATCCAGGATGAAGGTTGATAAATAATGTCTGTACAGCGAGTTGGTCCCGTGTGTTTTTTTTTTGCATCCCCACTGTCTTCTCTACCCAAAACTCTCACCCTCCAGAAAACTGGCCACAGATATGGAAAACCCATTGCTTCCCCAAGAAAATAATCTACCCATTGTGGGTTTTCCTAGTTTGCTCCAAATGTGATGTTTGATCAATTTGTTCCTCATGGAAATGGAGCAGGTGATTAACAATTAACACCAGACCGGACGTACTTTCTGGGTGTTTGGGGCTACGATTTCAGTAGCCAAATTAAGCACCTTCTCAGGCACTAAGTGTCTATTATATATAAGAGAGAGAGAGAGGGATGAATCTAAATCGTAAATAGTCATAACACGTCACGGATACATAATTATCTTAAATCAATATATATATATATTATATATTATTATGTTGTTTACATATACACTATATACACATTATTATATGTTGATTAAAACACATTTTTGTTTGGCACACGAAGTCATCAGCGCTGTTCGTTGCTCTTTAGGCATACCTCTGCGAAGGTTTGGAAGATCACTTGAGCCATCGGCCAAGATGGAGTGGTGCAGCTCTTGGGGGTTTCCATAAATGGACCCCCAAGAGCTGGTTGGTTGATGTTGGTTATATTTGGTTATATGGGGATGGGTCAAAACCCTGGTACCTAGTGACCCCCAAAATAGCTGGTAAATGGATGTTCATCCCACTAAAAATGTATCTATAGGTATTGACCCATACCCATATAACCCCAACTATTATGAGTTATAACATCAAATTTATCATAAAATCTATGATAAACCTAAGAGAAATCGGGTTTTCCATAGTCATGGGGATACCCCTTTATCGCTGGATTATTTCATAGAAATCCGATCGGATAACATGGATGATTTTTGTTGGGTACCCCATGACCGGACCGGAAAGCACCCATAGTCAATGGTGGAAGATGGTGGAATGGCATTAGTAACTTAACAACTGGCTATATCAAACTGGCTCGACAATTGGATGGTTATATAAGTTATAATCATCCTGAAATCCAATAATATGATGGTGACATTTTTTTGTTGTGACAATAGGGAGAATTTTCATGGAAAGTTCGTGCAGCCCTTGAGAAAGATTCAGAACAGTTATATAGATATACCACGATTTGCGATTTTTTGTTGGGAAGTTTATGTGCCAAGGTGAATTTCAACATATCCAAGTTTCAACTTGAGTACAACTATCCCAGTTTTAGAGTTTAATACACTTTAAATAGATTTAATATGAATTATATAAACTATATAAGTTATACTCAAGTTGAAACAAGTGGTAACTAACTCGTTGGGATTTGGATGGATTTGGATCATTGATCGGCGGCAAGTGGGAGTCCTGGCGTCATGTTCTCCAGTTGAGACTGCCATTTTTTTTTCTCTACAAGTGCTATAAAACCTTCCATTTTGAAGATTCACAAGTTATTTCAGATGTTTTTCCCGAGAGCGTCTGAGCGCAGGGTTCTTCCAATAGTGGGGGTCTGTAAAACATCTTCTCATCTTCACATCTTCTCTCACATCTGCTCATCTTCACATCTTCTCTCACATCTTCTCTCACATCTGCTCATCTTCACATCTGCTCATCTTCGCATCTTCTCTCACATCTGCTCATCTTCACATCTTCTCTCACATCTTCTCTCACATCTGCTCATCTTCACATCTTCTCTCACATCTGCTCATCTTCACATCTGCTCCTCTTCACATCTTCTCTCACATCTGCTCATCTTCACATCTGCTCATCTTCACACCCTCTCTCACATCTGCTCATCTTCACATCTGCTCATCTTCACATCTGCTCATCTTCACATCTTCTCTCACATCTTCTCTCATCTGCTCATCTTCATATCTTCTCTCACATCTTCTCTCACATCTGCTCATCTTCACATCTGCTCATCTTCACATCTGCTCATCTTCACACCTTCTCTCACATCTTCTCATCTTCACACCTTCTCTCACATCTTCTCATCTTCACATCTGCTCATCTTCACATCTTCTCTCACATCTCTCTCACATCTTCTCTCACATCTGCTCATCTTCACATCTTCTCTCACATCTGCTCATCTTCACATCTTCTCTCACATCTGCTCATCTTCCCATCTTCTCTCACATCTTCTCTCACATCTGCTCATCTTCACATCTGCTCATCTTCACATCTTCTCTCACATCTTCTCTCACATCTGCTCATCTTCACATCTTCTCTCCTTTCTCTCTCCCTTTTCTCTCTCTCGCCTTCTTTATCTTTCTCTCTTAAGGCCGAGGGTGGTGCCGGCGGCGAGTCACGAAACGTCAACCCTTTCGCACGAAATGAGGGTCGATCGTCAAAAACTGAGGAAAAATTGCGATTTTACTTGTCCTGGAGCAACCTTTTCGCACGAAATGAGGGTCGATCGTCAAAAATTGAGGAAAAATTGCGATTTTACTTGTGCTAAAACAACCCTTTCGCACGAAATGAGGGTCGATCGTCAAAAACTGAGGAAAAAATGCGATTTTACTTGTCCTGGAGCAACCCTTTCGCACGAAATGAGGGTCGATCGTCAAAAACTGAGGAAAAATTGCGATTTTACTTGCCCCCGAGCAACCGTTTCGCACGAAATGAGGGTCGATCGTCAAAAACTGAGGAAAAATTGCGATTTTACTTGTGCTAAAGCAACCCTTTCGCACGAAATGAGGGTCGATCGGCAAAAACTGAGGAAAAATTGCGATTTTACTTGTCCTGGAGCAACCCTTTCGCACGAAATGAAGGTCGATCGTCAAAAACTGAGGAAAAATTGCGATTTTACTTGTGCCGGAGCAACCCTTTCGCACGAAATGAGGGTCGATCGTCAAAAACTGCGGTAAAATTGCGATTTTACTTGTGCCGGAGCAACCCTTTCGCACGAAATGAGGGTCGATCGTCAAAAACTGAGGTGAAATTGCGATTTTACTTGTGCCGGACTTGTCTGTGTGTAAAAGCGCCTGTGTGTAAAAAGCGTCTGTGTGTAAAAGCGTCTGTTTGTAAAAGCGTCTGTGTGTAAAAGTGTCTGTGTGTAAAAGCGTCTGTGTGTAAAAGCTTCTGTGTGTAAAAGCGTCTCTGTGTGTAAAAGTCTCTGTGTGTAAAAGCGTCTGTGTGTAAAAGCGTCTGTGTGTCAAAGCGTCTGTGTGTAAAAGCATCTGTGTGTCAAAGCGTCTGTGCGTAAAAGCATCTGTGTGTAAAAGCGTCTGTGTGTAAAAGCGTCTGTGTGTAAAAGTGTTTGTGTGTAAAAGTGTTTGTGTGTAAAAGTGTTTGTGTGTAAAATCGTCTGTGTAAGAGCGTCTGTGTGTAAAAATCTCTGTGTGTAAAAGTCTCTGTGTGTAAAAGTCTCTGTGTGTAAAAGTGTTTGTGTGTAAAATCGTCTGCGGGTAAAAGCCTCTGTGTGTAAAAGTCTCTGTGTGTAAAAGCCTCTGTGTGTAAAAGCGTCTGTGTGTAAAAGCGTCTGTGTGTGTAAAAGTCTCTGTGTGTAAAAGTGTTTGGGTGTAAAAGTCTCTGTATGCAAAATCGTCTGTGTAAAAGTCTCTGTGTGTAAAAGTGTTTGGGTGTAAAAGTCTCTGTGTGCAAAATCGTCTGTGTGTAAAAGCGTCTGTGTGTAAAAGTCTCTGTGTGCAAAAGCGTCTGTCTGTAAAAAGTTCTGTGTATGAAAAACTTTACAAAAATACAATGCAAACTATTGTCTTGTACTAGTCATATATTGTCTTGATACTACTCTTCTCGTCTGCCTATAATACATCTTTATCATATTATCTTGTAATATAGTGTCTCCATACTAACAACAGAAGACTCTGCTCCTCTACGCTCTCGGGCCATCCGTCGTCTAGTTGTTCGTATATTCACATGTCCAAGTAGAGTCCCTTAAGATTCGGTCAGTTTTTCCCAGGGATTTTCACAGTTAAAAATCCTGGGAACACCATCTGGGAACACCCATTGCGGTAGGCACGGCGGGCCGGATCGCCGGAGCCTTTGCCGTGGTTCAAGCGTTGCGTAAACCGAGGCCGGTTATCTGGAAGTTCTAGAGACTGTGCCAAAGAGTGGCTCGGCGACCGGATGCCGCGTTGGACAGGCGTTGGTGGTACAGGATGGCAGGATGGGGCCCCCCAGTGATGTGAAAACGTTGGTTTTAAAAAACATAACCATAGTACCATTAACTATACCATTACGTATAATTATATCTATAAGCTATAAATAACCCATAGTATATATCGATGTAAGTTGGTTTATAAACCATGAAATAACCCCCATGAAAACTATAGTTATATCTACCATAAACCATAGAATTCAGCCACTTTTTTTTAGGCAACTGGACGCTATCGACTGGGGGCCCCATCCTGTACTAAGCAGGTAGAAGAAAAATCAAGAATCTATAGTAGATGATCTAAGAATCTTGGAGTGGCGGACTTTCAGGATACAGACTAGAACTACTATAGTCAGTAGTTCAGAGATGTTAGGAAATGACCAGCTATTTTTGTGGCTTGGAGGCTTGGTGTGTCCGAACTCGTTTTGATCCCACGAAATTCCGGAAGTTGAAAAGTGCGAACAGATGCTGAACTCCGAAAGGCTAGGAAACCTCAATGTTTATTCCCATAGGATCCATGGTGCTGGTATATATGCTAACATAAAGGGGATATATTGATGGTAAAGGTTACCATATATATATATATTAATATATATATATATTAATATATATATATATTAATATATATATATATATATAGCATACATGGATCCTATGGGATTGTCCATTATCAGGGCCACCTATGGCCACCTCCAGGACTCCACCGTTGTGTTCAGGCTGTCGAAAGTGATTTCGATGGGCAAGGAACTGCTTGATGCCTTGCCCCATGGCCGCTTCCAGTTGATGGATGTTGATGGTGGATCCGAAAAAACTATAGGTTTCAAGACTAAAAATGGTCATCCAAGACTTGGATGATTTGGGGGTACCGCAAATGTTAGGAAACCTCCATACATGTTAAGTATTGTTAAGTGTGAATGGGATAGATATCAGCAAGGTTAGCAACATTAATCAAGACTACGTTTGTTTTTTGTAGTTAAAAGCTATGTGGTTAGTTGTTGAATAGAAGGCTGATTTAATCATCAAATTTGTTTTTTTGGCCAGCGAAAAAATGGTGATACACTTGATACATGAACAAACCATCTTGTTTATGAGTTTAAATCATTGCTTACTTGCACTATGATTGGATATAATGGGATATCCATGATTAGAAATAACTAGTTCCAAATCCTGGTTGATTATTTGACATGACATGCTTAAAATCCCTAACTAAACATAAATAGCCCGAAGACAGAATCTACAAACCAAGGTCATACTATGGGAAGCCATGTGGTTATGACTAACAGTTTGCCATGGAAAGATCCACCATGTTTAATAGGTAAACTATCTATATCACCATTACTTTTAACTATTACCTGGTTGGTGGTTTCAAACATGTTTTTTTTATGTTCCATAATATATGAGATGTCATCCTTCCCATTGATATGCTAGGATAGATGTCAACTATCTCCTATCAACATCATCTACAATAATCTATACCATCTGGTTATGACTAACGTAGCCATGGAAAGATCCACCATGTTTGAGAACGGTAAACCATCTATTTCTATGGGCCATCTATACCAGGGCTATGTTAAATAACCAGAGGGTACATACTTTGTTATAATGTGTTATGATGTCTTATAGGGTATGATAGGATCACTGAAACATATTACCTGCTTTCTTTTTACGTCTTACATCGGATTACTATTGTGGATGGTTGCGAAATCCTGCACCACCAACCGGATGGTTGAAAGCCCAACAAAATAATGGGATGATAAGCAACCATCCACAGTATTGTCCATATTTTTGGCCATATTTTGAGCGTATATCCCCTCAAAAATAGCCCTGACAAATAGGCCCAACAAAATATAGTGGGACTAACCACCTATCAACTGGTGCAGGATTTCGCCGCCATCCACCGTATGTCCTCAGCGAGTTTCTCAGGTTGCCAGTGCTGCTCCTCTCCATTTGCGACCTCCTGGATGGGACAGCGCCCGGGGCCCCAGAGACATGCATTTATACTTTGAAACGGATATGTACAATATTAATGTATATATATATATATGTATGTATGTATGTATGTGTACTATCTGTATATATGTATATATACTGTGTTTTGGATTTCCTAGAATATATATATTTATATGTGCATATTGTTTATGTGTGTATGTATATATATATATATATGTATGCATATTGTTTATGTGTATATATATATATATGTATATACATATGTATACATATAGACACTACAATAGGCTACAAATGGAAATAGGCATAGTTCTAGCAATTTCTAAGTTCATGGGTAGACAAATCATGGGGAATGGAATATGATGGGACGTCGCCGGTCGCAGTCAATACGTTTTGGGTCTGAAACCTTGGTTTCTTTTAGTATTGAAACCTATGGTGACTTGGGGATCCCCCTTTTCAAGACACCCCCCATATGAGATAGTTGGAGAACGTTTTTAGACAAACTTGGATAGCAAGGACGTACTAAACCATCCAATTTGCCTGTCCATTTGACATTTGACTTGAAGTTACCGGGAATCATTTAATTTGGGTCTGGCATGTTGCGGAGCCCTCCTCACCCTGTTCGCAAAGGAGATCTGAAGAGTGTGAAACCTCAAAGTGATATTTGAAAACTTACAACAATAGAGGTTCCCCAAACCTTTTTACCTTTTTCCCTAATCCCAAGGTCAGTTAAAAAGGGGTTGGCACAATTTGGCACGCGATTTGGATCAACCATGTCAGTGTCACTGGAATCCAAATCCATGACCACCATGACCACACGCCTCATTGATCCCTCTTGCTGTTGATATGGTTCAACCCCCTTAAAACCATGGGTGATGTAGCAGATTTCTAGACCTTTTTCTGGGTGCGTGGAGATTTCATACCGGGGATTGCGGGGATTCGTGGTCCAGGACTGGTCCATGGTTTGGGTTAATTCAGATCCCCTCGATAGAGGGATGGGGGGGATCTTAAGGGGGGAGGGGGGTCTTCTTTAGGAGGGGCGAGGATGGGATCTTCTTAAGGGGGGCAGGGGGGATCTTCTTAAGGGAGGGAAGGGGTGTCTTCTTGGGGGGGGGGGGTGCCTTCTTAGGGGGGGAGGGGG